TGACTCCGTCTTTTCAATGGGAAGTGCGGCCCCCGAGTCCCCATGTAGTCGGCACCTATGACATTGAGCATTTACATCAATTTCATTCCTTCGTCTAAGCACTCGAGTCCTAATATTAATTATTAAGGTCATTCGAAAGTGGAGATAGGTGTTATGGACGGGGAATATCCGCATTGTAATGCGCTTAAATTCAAAAATGAGCTGGCCGGTATGTGTTGCGCGTCAGGAAAAGTGCAACTAACGGAAATTAAAACACCATCTGAACCATTGAACGGTTTACTTATCGGTATGGATCCTACAGATTCTAACCTGTTCCTGAATTCGATTTGAACATTCAATTCATATTTTTAAATGAAATACTTTGTAACAACAGAAATGGTTAAAAATAATGTTGCAATTGGTCAATAATTTAATTCAACTTCCAAAATCAAAGGACAAGTTTATGACAAAGTGAGTTCATTGCTACCAATGCCAAACGCATTTTCAAATTCAAAAAATGAATATTTTGTATATTGTTTTGCTTTTATAGGTCGTCATTATTCTCATTACTCCATTCATCTTTCAGTCATATATCAGTATACCACATCCCCACACACTTACAATAACTTAGTTATTTTTTAATTGACTACCAAAATATTCATTAGAAATTATTTATTTATTTGGCAAAACAATGTTTACCGAGTCATCTAGCTATTATTTTTCAAGATTGATTATGCCATTGACTGTTACAAAGCATACTTTTCAATATCAATAAAGATAATAATACTTTATCTGTGATCTATATTATATGAGGCTATTAGAGAGATATCAAATTTAATTTCGGTAATTTCACATCCAATATCATATGAATCTTTCTTTATCGGATATTTGGATGACAGTTGACGGATACCTATGTAACTCCTAAGTTGTTCAAAAAATAACATTTAGTGAGTGTTTGTGTATAACACAGTTACTATTGTGTTTGCAGTTTATACGTGTACCTATTTATTATTTCATAATAAATAGGTAACAGTCAATGTCATAATCAATCGTGAAAAATAAAATTAAAATATTTTTGTTAAAATATAATTATTTATATAATAAAATATAATATACATGTAAATGTATAATGATATTTTATGAACCATTATATAATAAAATAATAATTACAAAAAATACACGATATAGATATTGTCCATTTCATGAAATGGGTGTCCATATAATGTATTTTCGTCAAAATTCACGATCTAGACGAATTTCACTATGTAGATGCGACATATATATAACGTATTATTATTTTTAATGTTGAAATTAATTACGTTAAGATTGTTAATTGTAGCTTTTGACTTCTCATTTTTGATTTGGACATTTCTCTATTTTTGACATATTTAACTTGTTTATCTTCACAATCTTTAAATTTTTTTGTTAATTTAATGATATGTAACTGAAAAAATTATTATTTTTACATTAACATTAATTTAATGTGTTTTGAAATAAAATTAATCTATTAGATCATAATTTAACTCTTTTATGTTTCGACATATAATTGGTCATATTCATTTCTAGTTCCATTTTCCATCTTAATTTCTAAAAATGTCTAAAAAAATGATCTTTTTAAATTCTACGATTTTTAATTTATTTCCTGGTATTTGTGCAATATTTTTCTAAAATTACAAAAAAAAAACATATATTATTATATACAGGTAAAATATTGATAAATAATATACTAAAGAGTGTAATGCATTAGGTAACGCACAATCCTTCCTTTTAGACACGATTGTGTTTTTTTTGTAAGCCTGTAAATTGATTTTTACATTTTCTACGAATGTTACTATATATATTTTTTTTTGATGGTTAAAAGCCTATCACTAAAAAATTTGAATTATTTGAATCATTCAGATTATTTAGTTATTAAATTTTGGATTTTGGAAAATCCGGATTTTTGACATCTCTAATAAATTTACATTATTTAGCGTATAGTGAGTTGTAAGTACCTAGTATATTATACTCATCCATCCAAATTGTTATTAAGTCAACGTAATCTGCATTACTGGAACTATTAGAATCCATATTTATTATAAAATATAAAAAATTAAATCAAAAATTTACTAATGTATAATTATCAAATTATGTAACTGCAAATAATTAAATATTATAAATGCAACTAAATATATGTTGTTTTTTCAACGAGAATTGTTTCTAGGATATGTATACAAAAAAACAATATATGACAGTATAAAAAAAAATTATAATCAACTACACTTAACTTTAACATATGAGACTATAGCACACACATACTAGGTATTAAACATAGGGAGCAGTGGATTTTGTTCTGGAAGGGGATATACCTACCTATAATTTATTGGATAAATATAAAGTGGATTGCTTATAATCATGCTCTTATAGCCCTAAATTGCATATTATATTTGTGATTAAAACATAATATGGGTAATTTTATAATTTTATATCGAGTTTAAGTCAATACATTATAAACATTAAAAAAGAAAGGTTTTGGGGGATCTATTTCCATTATCCCTCCACCTCTACGACTCTGGTAGGGAGGTATTTATTTAAAAACAAATAAACGTAAGTGATAATGGTTAAAATTTATCATAAAATAAAAAAAAGCTTTTTTCCTAAATACTTGTTTTTTTTTCTATCGTTATTATTTAAATTAGGTGCACGTTTTTTGTGCTTTAAAAAAATTATGTCAAGAAAATCATAGGAATACTTTTACACAAAAAAAAAAAAAACATCCTAGAATTATAACATGTTAAACATGATTTTGAAAACACTAATTTGAATTATATAACGATTCTAAAAAAGGAAGTAGTGGGTACTTACTTCCAGGGGCAGATCCAGAAATTTTCCAAGAAGAGCGCATAGAAAGCAAAAAAAAGTCATCAGATAAAAAAACTTGGTCCAATAATATCTTATTTTTTATTTGATAGGGGGGGGGGCGCTCCCTTCCTCACCATTGAATCCACCCCTGTCTACTTATTAGTACCACATTATCATACAGAATCTGTGGTCTTAGTGCGTGTTACCAATTACTGTAAGGTAGGTACAAATTATTCTGTAATTATTAGAAAATTATTATTAGTTAACGATAAATGATTTTTATAACCTTTCTCGAGGGATATCCACCACCCAATCAATCATGAGACAATGGTCTCACGAAACACCCCATCATGCTGCCACTGCAGGACCGGGCTTTATTACTGGCGTCCGCGTTTAATATTAAAATCTTGGTAAAGTTTGAATATTGAAGTATAGGTTCAGAACATCATTTTTTTTCTTAATTAAACAAATTAAAACCTACATTGTCTTAACTAAATTTTAGTTAAAAACCACGGTTGTTGATAAATATTCGATATATTATACGTTTATACATAATATATTATCTATTGTGAACATATTATTGCATAGCGCGAGTTTCTATAATTATCCGATAGAGTGCAGTGAGATTATAAATGAAACTAAAAAGTAAAACCTGTAAAATGCCAATAATGTTTACTATCACACGTTTCCGTCGAATTTTAAAAATGTGAAATCCTGGAGCGGTATTACTTACTATGTTAAATTGTGGTTCTCTAATTTCAAATGCCAAAATGAACAGCATTGTTGGCCTCTCCGTCGTTGCCATTTGATGGTTCCTCGGAGTGACATAAAAGGTGGAACAAAAGTTTTAGATTTCACTTTACAAAAAAGTCTGAGTTCGGCGTCACTGGGAAGGTTTGTTTTGTATAAGGTAGTAAGATGGCGTATGCCCACTAAATCTCACTCACACAATTGATATAATTACATTATACGTATAAATCGTTCACAAAATCGGTGACCCAGCATAACATATTTGAAATTCCTTTTTTTGTTTTTTGGTAAATCATTATGTTTATGATAATTTTTAGTCCACCAGTGCTTTAGTGTTACACTCGTAAATTTCGTATGTCGATTATTAAACTAAATTCAAACAATAATGGAAATTAATAAATATACAATATAGTTACATGAAAAATACAGTATACCCAATAGGTATATTATACTATTTATAAACGTATTCACTTGTAAAAAATATTTTTTCTTTTTTTACTGAATACATATTTTATAGTTATCTATCAAATATTGAAAACATGTATTATTATATTATATATAATCTATATCAAGTATATATATTTCAAACCTTTACGTGACTCACCAAAAATATAATTATAACCCAGAGTTTGGATATCTCTGTCCTCTGATATAAATTATGGCAAAACTGCAGTCTGCACTCAGCAGTGCATAAAAACTTATTAAATATAATTATAAGTAGTGATGTTTACAATTCAAATTATTTATGATACCTATTTTCATTTCAATGATTTTCATAAATATTATTGATTATTATATTGGTACAGGTACACAGGTGAGAAAAACAGTATAGAAATATATATATATTTTAATAAACTTTATTTAAATATTATTTCTAAATAATTCTTACTTACACACAGATATACATCATATATAATTGAATATATATTTATATATGTACATTGTACACACATTTTTATAAACGAAATTTGTAGGTAGTACTTTATAATGTGAGTGGAAGGGGATGGTTACAGATCAGATATATTCGCCTATGGTGGTAAAATACTTTGGGCCAGCCCAAGATTCGTATTTACAATATGATATAAAAATTGCGATTTACAAATGTACATTCCATACAAAATCAAATTTTCACAATTATAGTGACGATAATAATAATAAAAATAATAATAGTAATATAGATAATAATAATAACAAATTGCAAGCATCATCTGATTATACACGATCAAATAAGATACATTTAATATAGGTAATATACAAACACTATTGTTTATCATGAAAGATTACAATACAAGGTTTTAATGTTACTATTATTATGATAACATAATTACGTGATATGCGATAAAGCAAAAAAACTATAATAATATGTGAGATACTATTATTGTGATATAATAAAAAAGATATTTAAAACTAATAAAATTATGTAAGTTCATTTAGATAACAATAAAATATTTTCGGTGGTTGAAAAAAAGTAAAATTTGCTTTTAATAGGAACGCATTATAACTGTAACGGACGGAAAAAGAAACAATATTTTTTCGACAAAGTATTTGTTGGAACATACAATCATATAATATGTCCCCTATCTGCATTTGTTTTAAATTTATTAAAAAAAAACTATCAAAAGCAATAAGTAGTCATATTTTGTAATAAATAACGCCGGGTAGATAACATCTGAAGTGTACACGTTTTGTTTTCAAGCTATATTTTAATAAACGACAAACACATTTTGTATAAACATCGGGATTTATAGTTTTTTATAAACATTATAATATCTGTTTACTTTACGCTAGAGCGATAGACCGCGGTAAGAAAAATTTTAGCTTATTATTAATTATAATAATATAATTTAATGAAGTTTGAAAAATATTTCCAAATAAAAACTTAATTATGAATCAGTGAAGAAATGCGAATGTGGATGTGTAGTACAGTGCAAAAGACACTAATTGCGTTATTCCCTAAATTGACGAACTTAACTAATGGTAACTATGGGAATAATTAACATAAGTTGTGGGCCGATAGACACGAAACACTAAATTTTGCTTTATACTAATATATGATAATTAAATTTTTGTACATGCGACGAGAAGAGTGAGTTGTCCGTCTAGAGATTTTAATATAAAACGCAAACGGATAAAAACGCAACGGGCTTCCATCTAATAATTAAACATTAACTAATTAATTATGTTTATATCACAGTAAAAATAATTTAAGACAATTAATTTTTTTTTCTCATAATAATATTTATTATTTCGGACGCCGTCAACGTGGTGGATGGTTGTTGGTCCCACCACGGTCTTCGTCTCATACCGGATCACTATTCCTGCCCACCGAACACATCATTATAGAATCTTGAGACAGATCATCCAGGGACGATGTTTCTGAAGCTGAAATGAATACGACAACAATTAGTAAAAATCACAAAAAATATTGAACGTTTCAATATTATATTTTTATAACTATGCTTCGATTGAAAACTGACTGTTTCTATTTACCTGGATTTTGAGGTATATAAATAGGAGATCCCCTCTGGTGAGAATGATTCGACGACGGAGGCTGTTGAAACGAATACGTGAGGTGTAGATTTATGTGACGGTTGAAATGATTTTCGGAACCGTTTTGTTGATGGTGAACTGTAAAACAAAAACAACATTGTTTTATCATGGTGGTCTGAACATGCTATATAATATATCTTAATTAAATAGCCTAATATCGCATTGGCGTAACTGTGAAAGAGGATGGCTAGGGGATTAGCCCTACAGCATACGTTTTTAGCCCTCATGAAATTTACCTAAAGTAGTAGCAAAGAAATCAAGGTTGTCATGCGTTTAATGTTTATAATGGTTAATAATAACATAAATTATGTATGTAATAACTAATAAGCATAAAAATATTATAAATACTTAAAAATGTCGAAGGAGAATAATATTTATCGGTTGTTCTGGTTTTCAATGAATCAATTATACGAAAATATAAAATAAAATTGATTCCTTTACTTATAAGAAGATAGTTAAAACATACGACGCTGTCACAAAAGTTACTACTAAACTACTAAATACGAACGTATACGATTATAAGAATTAAATGTGATTATTACTGAATAAATAATATATGCCATATTTAGTAATTGTTAACATTTGATTTTTTTAAATTATTATTTTATGTAAAAGGCCCCCCTTTTGACTCAATGAATTATTTTGAACTTTGATTTTCTATGGCCCTATAATAAAATCTCAATAACTACGAACTTAGTTATGCTCATGTTAATACGGTCGTGACATATTATGCAACAAATAAACGATTTTAATAAAAATACGATCCCCATAAAATAAATAAATAGTCATCAAACACTGTTAAGTATAGTAAAGTTTGAATTTTAAATTGCTTATTGTAAAATACATACGTAATCCGGATGGAGCGCTTTTCACTTTTCCGGTGTGCAAATGCTTTTTTTGTCTCGCCCTAGAATTTTGAAACCATACTTGAGTAACTCTTTTGCTCAATCCAGTAATTTGCGCTATCCTTTCGAGATCTTGCCCATCGGGATTAGAATCCAATTGAAAATTAGCTTGTAACACCTGCAATTGTTCTTCGGTAAATGTGGTCCGTACTCGTTTTGCTTTATTCTTGCTGTGATAACTTTCAGAATCTCCACCCTCTGGAAAAAAATATAAATAATATTATTTTTGAAGTATTATGCATATTATAAAGTAAATAGACCATCAGTCATATTCTCATTTAAATTGTAATCAATTATTTAATAAAATAACATCAGAAAACTAATAGATACTGCAGTTCCATCGTAGAAACTATCCCCAAAGAAATGTATTTACCAGTTAAGATACATGGAATTTACCAAGAAAAAAATTGTCGGTAAATTAGCATGAAATTTGGTGGTAAATTAATAATTTTTTGTTGTGTAATTTTATTTATTCAATTTATTTCAAAAATTATTCATTTTGTCATTAAATTATAAATAATTATCATTTATAATTCACGCCATTAGTGATAACAATATAAAAAAATAAATTAAATGTAGGGAAGGAATATAAATGTGTATAATAAAATATATTCTAAAATTCAAACCTTGTAAATAAATAACGATATTTATGATCATATGGTTTTCATTTTTTAATACAGTGATATTTATGTTTTCAAAATATAATAAAGAGTTAATAGAGATTAGATGCAGTAGGTATGTATGTGTGTCTATTATTCAAATTTAAAGACTGTCAGAATATATTTAAGCTATACTAATTAAATCTTGTAAGAACATTTATAAATGAAGAGTCACTATTGATTCTATCAATGGTAAAAATAATCTATTCAATTTACGTAAATTTACATTTACCCGTAAAATGCATCAGGTAAATTTAATGTACTCACATCACTTATTACAACTCGTTCATAAACTATTATAATTATAATTTAGTTACATACATTAAGTATATGTTGCACTATGTTTAAAAATTGTATTGATATATATATAATTAATTTTGTGACAATATTACACCGCGTTTATAATAATATATTTAATGTAATGCTCGAGTTTCGGATGTTCGAGACCAAAGGCAGAAGATGATCATTTCAACCATTGCCAGTATTTGCCCCTGTGATTGAAGGATATATGTATCATAATTACAGAGGAGGATTTGACCCTTATGAGCGCGATTCAGCCGGATATTCGGGGTGCTTTATACAATCATTATATTCAACCTTTGTGACTGTGATTTGAATAGCCAACCACGCACAAAATTATATGTCTATACAATTTATTTAATAAAACAGACACGCACTTGATCATGAATTGTAGATATTGAAATGTCAACTAAACATTTCTCTATGTATTCTGAAACCATAAATATGGATAATACATTATATAGACGCACATAAAAAAAAAAAAAAAAAAAAATAGAATAATTGTTTCTAAATTCTAATATATTTTATTATTTATTTTTAACATAGGTATTAAAAATGTAATAAATTTTAAATTGTAAAATTATACAACTGTTTGCGATTAAAACATTTAGATTAAACTTGAGGAATAATAATAATTGCAGGTTTTCATAGTGAGTTATATTCATATTTAAGTACCGTATAAAAATGTGCGTATTAAAAATAATAAAACAAGAAAAAAACAGCTATATTTACAATAAAGAGACTATTATATATTTATATAAATGAGATAGATCTAAAGGTAATCGAAACGTTAATAGTTATTTTGGGTTTTGAAACGAAATAATGTGAGTACCTAATGGTATTTTACACTGATTACTGGTCGAAAACATCGAGTGACAGGGATGCGTCGAATAATCATCGGCAATAGATATTCGTTAATATTAATATATATTATAATATTATAAAATATATAAAGACAGAGAATACATAATTTGGTAGTTCGAAATTGTATTAAACCATAGCTTTACAACTAAAAAAAAGTATTAACATACATCAGACTTGTAAAATATGTGCACGAAAAATGTTAAATTTTTGAAAAATTTAAAGCAAAAATTTCGAGAATAGAGATTACAAATTACAATATAGATACAATAGAGATAACAAAATCAAAAATTAATACTATAATATATATATAATATACATCATAAAAATATTATAAGTCACATACCTAGTCCTTTCCCTAATATGCAGAAATTACTCTCAAATGACACGCAAATACCTAAGTGGCTTTTTAAATGTAAGCTAATTCTATCAAAAAGTATTAAAATGTATGAATATAATTTTTTTTCTATATAATTTCAAGTACCAAATAAAAAAAATATATTTTTTGCTATTTTTATCGTTTAAATTGTATTTTTATTTTTAATGACAGTATATATTTTTAATTTCATATTCCAAAGCAGAATATATTTTTAAGAATTTTAACATTAAATTTAAAATGAGTATTTTATGTTTTGAAGAGCAGAGTGTAGTTTAAAATATTGACGGATACTAATTGTATTGTGTTGACCAACACTGATCTTCTCATAAAAACTTTAAATACTGATATAAACAAATAAATTATTAGTTTTAAAATTTGATTTTACACAATATTAAAGTTCTGAAAAAAAGTAATATTCAACTTAAGAGTATGAAATAAAAATTAATGTTTTCATTAAAAAAAAAAAGCCTAAAAGATAACGTGATGGAAAAAATTATTTTTTTCTTTTTGTAATGACTTCAGATTATTTCAAAAAACATACAAAAAAATTAGTTCTCACCTCAAAAATAATCGTCTAGAACTAGGTATATTCCAAAATTTATATAACAATAACATGGAATTGCAGCACAGCAAGAATTATATACTGTGCAGCCGATCGGCATTCGTGAATGTAGACACGTTTACTATAATATTATCGTAACTTTGGGATAGTAGCATGGTATATATATTAAACATTGTACGTGCTCTATATTTCTATACAGATCTTTTAGTGATTTCAGTACTATATTTATAAAGGCGGAAGCGGTGTTCGGTGCGAATTGAATCAGAAAAATGCCGTATATAGACTTCTTTTGCAAAGGCGGCGATGACATCATTGTGGGCGGTCGAGGGGTGAGTAAACGCACGAGGTGGTGTTTTTCCTCCCGTATGGCTCTATAAGTATATATATATATATTTTTTTTATCGTCGGAACTGTATAATATTTGATTATCGCGGGTAAATTCGATTTGGCACGGCGATTTCACGGTTGACGGATAAACAATGGGACCACCCTATGCTCACACTAACCCTTAACTCGTATATACAGATACACACACACATACATATAAGACTATGAGATTGACCTAATTAAACGCACATTCGGGGTCACTGAAGGGTCGGTTGCATCTCGAGAGAACACAGCCATCATCAGGGCATCTTTAACTAAACCAAATCGAATCGAAATCAAAAGGCAAATAGGCGAATTCATACATATAACATATTTAATATATATATGTTAGTGGAAATTTTGATACTACGTAATTTTAGTGAATTACAATCAATAATGACAATGATTATTTTTCTTAGTTAATAAGGATATTTTCTAGTAATTTAAAATACTAACTGATTCAGGCAATGTTGACATATCCAATATCTATATACATATTATTATTATCTAGTCATTATCATGAATGTTTACGAATGTAAATATTCTAGCAAATAAACTAATATTATGGTGCATGTTTGTTTGTTAATTTCAATAAAAGTAGGAAAAAAAGTACGCTAAAAATAATACAACAAAAATAAATTTATGATTTATATTTTTTTGTCAACTTAGTAATAATAATATTATCATACAAATATATTGTTATAAAATATAATTATGAAATTTTAAAATGCATTTTTTTTCTTAAATTTACATACTTAAAACTAAACCACAAAGTTTCAATTATACGAAAAACGCTTTGAAAATCTGACGAGGGTGGTATAGTTACTCACCCATCAAAATTAAATACAGTATACCGAATTACCAACCATAATTTTCTATACTATACACTAAAATTGACTCAAATACTCAATTAAATAGTTATTTAGATTCAATTTTGTAAATAGGATGCTTTTATGTTATATAGTACCTAAAATTAGTGCTTGCGGGTGAATATTATAACCTTTGACCAAATTGCCTTTAATTATGTATAAATATATTTTACAAAAATATTATACATATAAAGTCTGATATTTGTATCATAAATTCAGCGTAATATTATATGGGAATCGATTTGGATTCCGAAAGCATCAATACAAATTCGATTTTACCTATTACTATGGTAATTTAATCATACAAGTAATATAATATACGAATGTATACTATAATTTATAATATTATGAGATTAATAGAAGCAATATGGTGAAAAATATAACTGAAAGCATATTTTTTATTTTCGTTTTAACAATAATTTATTGATAATATAATAGATGCATACCTGACGAGCTTGTAGTGCCACCGTCCACGATATCCAAATAATGAGGTTTGCATAAAACACGACCTTCGTGCAAAGCAAACTCTTCTCCTGTGTTCAATTGACGGTCACAGGCGTCGCACCGGAAACATGCCAAATGGTAAACGTGATCCCTGGCCTTTCGCACCCAATGCGAAGCGGAAATGCCTTTCGAACACTTTGAACACACAGTACCGAAACTCCTGAAACATAAGCATGGAAAAATTATAACTAGTTGTGCAACACAAAAACATGGTTTTTGTTTAAATATAATGTAATTTTATTGCTTACTGCTATTTGAATTAGTTACAGTACTGAATTTTGCGGCAGTATTCGCCGCTCCTACATCACAAGCATATAGTACACAAGTGTTTTGGTAGTTAAATTACATTACGAATTACTTAAAAAAATTATAAATAGGTTATTTTTTTTTTTATTTGTTCAAGATACACTCATTTTGAGTTAATACATTAGCTCAGTTATACAATTTAAGTTATTTTTTAATTTTTGATTTGAAATTATCACTGGAGTTCAATTATTATGATGTCAATACATTGACTAAGTAATGATAATTAAAAATAATTTATAAAATTTTTATTCAAGAACAATAATTGCTTAACACAATTTATTCTGTATTTTTGAAAAAATTGGTTTTAAATAATAATGCATTTTCCAAATTACTATACTATTATTGCAGTAAAAATGTTTTGTCAAATAGCTATTACAATAATTTTATTGTCAAAAAATCGTACATTGAAAAAAAAAAGTAACCAGTTATTTAATAATTTTACTTTAAAAAAGTAACTATTAAATAACATATAAATTAACTATACGTATATACTTACAATAAAATGATATTACTTAATTTGCAACTTAAATTACTTAAAAATAAATTTTAACCTAGGCTAAGTTCCCAACACTGTGCAAAATGTGCAAGTTAGGCAATAGAAGTAATTCGAGTTTGAAACCTTGTATTGATTTGCAGAAGTACATGCTCGCCGGTGTTTAATATTGAATATTGTAATACATATGTAATATAATATATCAAAACTGAGTAAAAATCGATACCAAAACGACATTGCAATTATTATATTTGCATTATATATTTATAAACTAAACTTATAATCTAACTAACTCATTGCGGCCATGCTGCATTTTCATCGCAGCCTTTCAAAATTTTCACCCCAGCACGCACAATTGTGTTGTAGTTTCCCGCAGAACACATAATATAATATACGCGTAATCATTAATCGCATAAATCGTCATCCAGATTGACTAACGTCGACGTGCCGTGCTTTGAACCGCATACATACCTAATATTATATACATACAATACGTGCCAATACATGTATATATATATATAATTTGATTTTTCCGCGTCAACTACCACGATGTAGTTAATTGCACAAAGTCCATAATCCGCCCGTTATATATAAATATATATATACAGTGTACAGGTATATATTATTCAACGTCGAATTTACCTATTTAACCGAACAAACATTTCGCAAATGTCATAAAGGCTATAGCTACGGCCGGGGTGTGAATGCATCGAATGAGGCGTATATTAATGATTAGAGGTATGAATGTTATGTCCAAAAAATTGCTTTTATGCCCCGAAAACTCAAATTAATTCACCAATAAAACGCTATTCAAGTTTTTTTTTATTTTAAACAGGTTTTGAACCAAGAAATATATTTTATTAAATCTAAAAAAAGATTATATTTAATCTAATAAAACTCTTGTTAGCACGCTACAAAGTCATTTTTTCAAGTAAAAATCTAAAAATAAAATTTTAAAAAATCGGATATATTAAAAACTATACAAAACATACGTTTAATACGAGTATCTCATAATCTAACCCAACCTCCAGAAAATAGTGTTTCAAAATGTATTGAAATTTGAAATCCCAGTCATAATAGCTCGAATTTTATAAGAGCCCAATATAATATTGTATTTGTGATGTATCACATTCAAGGATAGTCAAAGATAAAAAATATAATTTAAAACAGTGAATTTATTCTAAGTATCGTGTGTCATAAATAGTAATTACTAGAGCATTAAATATACCGAATTATTATCAATCGATCAAATATTTTTCATGTCATAATATTATTACACCTCGTATAAAATATATTTTTTTAAACTATTCCGAATCATATTTGACAAAAAATGTCATCCTTGGAGTTAAGTATTAGGCGTGACCGGAAGAGGTGAGTGACAATAAACGTTATATTATATTAGAATTGAAAACAAAAAACAAGTTTATACAGCTGAAAACAAGTTGTATATTTTGTCATCGTTTTTCAAATATTATTCCTATTAAGAGTATACATTATTATAAAAATAGCTTTATTACATAAATATATACAACAGAAAAAGTAAAAGTTGTATATCATATTACATATTATTGAGATTGTCATGGCTCCTGGTTATATATTAGGATAATTAAAAATGAATTAAATCATAAATAATGGTTTCTTAATGTATTAATTTAATACATAAATTAATAAAAATAGTAAATTAAGGATCGGTATTCGTTAATTATGTACGGTGTTTAAAATCTATAAATATTTTTCTTACACCAAATAGCTACTAAAATATAACTTATCTAGTTTTAGTTTTTTTTTTTTTTTTTTTAATACAATAATATAATATATATATATTATATCATAATATTATAGAAAATTATCATTTTATATATTCTACAGTTTTTTGATTTTTAATCTATTGTGTTATTATATTTTATCTCAGAAATCAATATCTACTTCATTTTTATCCCTTTCACTACGGAAAATTAAAATATTATATTTTATACCAAACATATTGTAATGAATATTACTTATTTTATGCAGCAAGTACAATGTATAGTCTCGATAAAAATAAACAGAAATAATAAAGTAGTAGTAAGGCGTCTCTATGTTATATAGATAAAGAAGAAATCTTCTTGTGTAAAGTTTTTTAGAGAAAAAGAATAAGAGTTTTATTGTTTTGCGTACTGGGAATGTTTATATTGTCCTTGTATTATGCAAATAACGGAAGGAAACAAACCTTGCAATTGCAAAAAAAAAAAAAATGAGAGAGATCGGTGGAAAAAGAGAAGGAGAGTGAGAATTTGGTACGGATGAAAAAAGACCTGGCGCGTATATGAGGGTATAGAACCGTGGTAGGAAAGTTTCATCCGGTTGAGCGCGTGTGCGGGCGTGCAAAGGCGGTTAATCCAATTGGCCATCCAATCAGCTCTGGCAAAGACTACCCCCCTCCCCCAACTAGTCGTTCTTCGTTCGCCTCTTCAACCACCTCATCAAAAACCACCCGAGCTACAAGGAATAAATAATATAAGACTCGATGTAAAAACGCACGAAGCCCGTTTGCATGTACACACATCTATGTGTGAATGTATAAGAAAACATCATAGATCATATTTTTCGGGATACTTAATATATACGTTACGGTTCAAATAATACATAATAATATGTTCTTATACATAATTCAGTCGAGATTTTCCAAAGAATGTATGATTTAAAATTATTCAAGTTATAACATATTCGCTGATTACTATTGAACTCGCTTAACTCGTTAGGCCAAATAAATTATTATGGGAAAAGTTCCTTTTTCATAAAACCGTAAAATTATCACTTATAAGATTTCACCATCCATTTTCTGCATAACCTTCACGTAATCTATTCGCATCAAATGTATTATTTTCATTATTTTCAAGTTAAGCATAAGTAACACACCGTATCAAATCCTGATTTCGATTTTAAATCTTTCTATGTAAAACTCGAATTGCTGAAAATAAAGTTTAAAATCGAACACAGTATATTACATGACGTAATACTGAAGCATCTGAAGCCACTGTTTTAATTATGTTAAATAATCAGATTAACCAAAAAACATTAATTTATCTCAATAGTTTGTATATAACTCAGTAGTACAGAGAAATTTTAAAATATAATATTAAAATACAAATAACAGGTAAGGTTGTTTTCACATTAAAAATTAAAACCATATATTTGTTTCTGAATCATATTTTATTAAATTTATAAAAAGCTATCAACTTATTCTCTTTGAAAGTCAAATAAAAATATATGAAATCTTTTACAGAATCTTGCCATACATGAATACATTTATTAGCGAATAATACTATTTTTTTTAATATACCTACTATTTACGTGTTATCGCTAAGTTTTAAATCTTAGTCGTTTGTATGAAAACGTTCAAGTTAAAAGTGATTTTTTTCAATTATTTTTATTGAGCAATTATCACGCAGGGACCAGTAAAAAATTTGAAGCTTGACATAGTTTTTTGTATAAAATTATTAATCATTAGTTTAAATTTAACACATTTATATTATATAGTGTCTGATTGACATAGGTTTTTTCAATCCCGCCCAATGAAAAAATTGAAATATTGTGCCTATGAGTTTAAGTTAACCAAATTTTACTGTAGACGCTCGCACGTATTATATTTCACCAGGCCGTGGTTGATCATACTTAATATAATATTACACACGTGTGCAAGTGTGCGTATACAATGCTACGGCGGTGGTAGATAATCTCATTACCTACGCGAGTTCTCTGTATATTATTATTATTATTATTATTATTATTATTACTTTATACCGACGACGCGCACACATTGGTATAACACACGATATACCGGCTGAATAATACCCAAACTATATAAAATATATTATTATTATTATTACGCATGTATATCTCGACCCCGCCGCCGTCCTCCTTTAAAACTTAATATAATATTCGTATCGACGACAAACGAAAAAGTCGTCGTCGGGTTTACCCACGTATATATTGCAACATCTACAGTTTTCGAGATTATTATATTACGCGATCCACGCTCCGAGGCCGTCGCTCGTCTACCGCCGATCTGCGTATATAATGGCATTACGACGTGCGAATAACAAATATATACATATATATATATTATAAATGACAAACGCCGAACGAAAGAGAGAGAGAGAGTGAGAGAGAACTAGAATCGTGACCGGAATTATTCTTTTCATCTCGTCGTCTCGAACGAGTCCGTTCTTTAAAACAACAACAAAACATAAATAATAATATCGAAACTTTTCCGTTGACGAGAGCTTTTGTGTACATGACGCGCGCGCGGACGAGACACATATTATAGTGTAATATTATTCCATACCTCGGCGGGACGTGGCCTGTGTATTGATTGACAG